TCTTTTGTATACCCTAAAGTCTTTCAGAAAATTTAGTATTAAATTTTTGTTGTGTGGTACAGAATCAATCTCTCAAATATTATTTATTCCACTTTGGTTTTTTTCTATGATATTAAATATCATGCGAGAAGTATATTTTTTTCTTTATTCTTGAAAAAATATTGTTTTAAATTTTATTTAGAATCGACAAAAAATTTTGTTCCACACGGGTTCAAATACTAGTTTACTATCTACGTAATGTTTGAAGTCAAAATAATTTTACTATTTTGGTGTCTTCGTAGCACAACCTTTATTATTGTTTCAATTAGTCCTCTTCTTCATCTTATTTGATTCAATGCTATCTTTAGAGTGCTCATAATTGGAATTGTAGAAAATATTACTCCGTATTAGAATAAAACTTGATTCGTTTTATCAGACACAAATCCGGTATATATAGAGTCTAGTAGTCTAACCTAATAATGATCACGTTTACAAGAATCCTATTAACTTAAAACCTAATGCATATCCTAACAAAAATAGACTTTCATCATGTTACAACAAAAATAGAGTTCCATTAAAATAGGCTTCCAATGAATGTAGTATTAAAAAAGTAATGGACTAAGGTCATGTTCTCTTCAATTTATTCTTATTCCTTATTATTTTTTTCTTATTAGAACCAGTTAAGATGTGATCAGAACAGATCAAAAACAGCTTTAAATATACCTACATTCAGATTAAGTGGAAAGAACATGACCTAGATATGAAATAATCATAATTATAGAAGATCAATTGTGAATTTAGTTTTCAATGTATTTTTTCCACAATGTCACGTGACGACATGTTTGTGTTGTTGGGTGTGTGAAGCTCTCGCGTTATAAATATACAACACAATTTTCAAAGTGCACTACAAAGTTGGCATTCGATCGAAAAAAATACATGCCTCACTTCGTCCCAACACATTTACATAGTTTAACCTTTTTGGATTACATAAAACAAATTTTAATTATGATATTACTCTAAATTTGTATTGCATATTAATATAACGAAATAAAATTTTGAAAATTTTGTTAATGATAAATCTAATAAATCAATTTTATACTAATATACTCCCTCCGTCCTAAAACTTTTTTCCCATAGCACTATTCCAACTTCACGGGAACTTATATTTATTTATGTTTTTTCATGGCCTATATGATAAAATAAAATATTCTTGTCACCACTTGTTTTATTGAACTTTTGATGTAGTTTTTAAATATGTATGTTTTATTTTTTATTTCTATACCAATATTTAAATAAAATAGATTGAAGAAATTTGGGATTTTTCAACGGGAAGAAAGATATAGAACGGAGGGAGTACATTATAATTTTAATTTAATTGAGTTTCGAACGTTGTCCAGCTAATTTTGAAAAATCAAACTAAACAAATGTACTCGAACAAGAGTAGTATTCAATGAATATACAATTCAAAAAAAAATAAATTATAAGTGCTATGTTTTAAATTAAATATTGGAAAATGTTCAGGTGGACTACATTTTGGGTGATAATCCATTGGGCATGTCATACATGGTCGGGTTCGGGTCGGAGTACCCGAAAATGATCCACCACAGGGGCTCCTCCCTGCCTTCGATTGCGAGCGAACCGGGTCGGATCCCCTGCAACCAGGGCTATGAACAATACTACAACAGCAAAAACCCGAACCCGAATATCTTAGTCGGAGCAATAGTCGGGGGTCCGGATCAAGGAGACGGGTTCAGGGACGATCGGACGGACTACAACAAACTGGAGCCCACAACGTATACCAACGCCGCCATTGTTGGGCCTCTGGCTTACCTTGCTCGGAAACACAGGAGTTAATCGAATGAAAGGATTAGCTTTGCATGAATGAACCAAATTAAATTAAACTTGGTTTTATTTTCATTTGGTTATATTCTGATTTCAAATGTTTTGTACTTCTTTGTATGTGTATATCACATTTCACTTTTATGGAAATGATGTTTTCTTGGGATTGCTTTGATGCGTTTTTAATTGAGAGGACAATCATCTCACTATATTCCCTAAAAAAAATTTCCTCTTTCGTTTTTTCTTTGTCCCCAAATAAACTTCTCTTTTTCTTTAAAAAACTCCTTTTATCCCTTACTTTTTTATATCATACTTATCACATCATACCTTTTTACTAATAATCTACATATCACATTTTACTTTTACACATCACATCAAGAATATTTTTGTAAAATTAACACAAAAATACCCCTCCCTTAAATCCTCAAAAAGTCAAAAACAGAAGTTTATTTAGGGACGAAGAGAGTATGTACTTATAAGTTATAATGACATCTAATGCTAATAGTGTTCAGGCTTAAATAACAAATTTTCTTTAATTGTTAAAATTGTAAGATAACCTTAATTTCATTGCAAGTCTACGTAAACTTACTCACTTTCATCTAATTGATCAGAGTTCTATTATACTTCTCTTCCTCCACAAAAAAACTTCTCATTCACTATTCGCATGATCAAACTTCTCTCGTCAACTATTTGATAAAATAATATAGTCATGTCACATCTAGTTTTGTAGGTTTTTGATATAGTATTTTAATGTGTAATTTTTATTTTTAAATTTTATACCTTTTTTCATATAAAATGATTTGAAAATAAATACAGTCAAACATTGTAACGCGCAACAAGAAGTTTATTTGTGGACGGGAGAAAGTAATTGTTATTTTATCTAATTATTTTCTCTTTATTTTACGTTTCCCAGAGAATCACGAGTATTATTTAGTTTAACTACTTTTTATTAATTATTATTTTTATTAAATCATTATTTACTTTAAACAAATATTTACTGTTTACTTTTCCCAATCTCATTGTTCTATGAATTATTTTTTTTTATTTAAATATTTTTCATTTTAAAAAAAACTAAACAGAGTTAAGAAACTAGAGAGGGTTGAAAAAAAGAAGTGGAAAAATAAATTGAAAACATTGAAAAAATGGGGAAGAATATGTACAAACTGTAAAAAGTTAAAAAATGTTTGAAAAGAATGAAAAAGGTTGAATTAAATATTATTCTCCCCGTCTACAAATTAACTTTCAATTTTGGACAGAGTACAAAATCTCATCTTTCATAAGTAGGTACATAGTCATGTACTTTTGAAAGTTACAAAATAGTTCTTGTGGTCAAAAAACTAATGCATAATTAGTTTTCTTTTGAATAAAATGCAAAACACATATACCATATGCCTATTGTGTATAAATGTGAAGCATGTAACAAAAAAAAAGTTTATCTAATAAAATTGTCCTCCTCTTTGTGGTTTAAGGCAATCAATGGTGTTTTTCTAACTCTTTTCTCACACGATTTTACTTTAGAATAAAACTACTTGAAAAGTAGAATAATGTCGAGCTCACACGAGATATTGTACTGTGATTCAAGAATATCACCATAGAAGAGACATAAAATTAGTTGTAAGAATTTAATTAAAAGATGGAAGATATTGTACTATAATTTAAATTTACACATCACAACTGAAATTTCAGATTAGCTTTTTTATTGTTACATGATTGACGTCTTTGCATAATATGTGCGTGTTTTGTACATTTTACGAATTTTCTAATTCAAACTAATGATGCTATGGTTGTTTGACCACGTGGACTATTAGACAATTTTTAAATGTTCGAGCACTATTTACCCACTTATGAAACACCACAGAGACTGTATATGCATTTAACTCTTAAAATATACTACGAGATACCTTAAAATATTGAAAAACTAATTCAGATGCGAATTTCCGTACATCCCTCAGTTTGCTACTACTTCCTCCATCATTTTTACATACACCATCACCATCATATCATCGTCACCATCGATCACCATCGTCTTCTTCTTCTTCTTCTCCTTGTTTCGTATTCACCCCCTCCTTCACCTTATCCTTCTTCTTTCTTTTTGATAATATTCCTCCTCCTCCTCCTCCTCCTACTTCTTCTTCTTCTTTCTTTCTTTCTTTTTGATAAGGTATTAACTTTATCCAAGCCATTATTTAGCTACTACTACCTCCGTCCCACTGTCTTTGTCCACTTTTGACTTTTGGAACGGTTCATCTAAGCACTTTGACTCATCAAATTCTCTCAATGTGTAAGCCTAAATATAGTCATGTGCGATCTTGTTTGATTTGTCTTAACATATAGATTATTAATATATAATTTCTATAATTTTTTAATATACAAATTACAAGATAAAATGGATTAAAGAAGTGCATTGGATGGTATACCAAAAGGTAAGTGGACAAAGACAGTGGGACGGAGGGAGTATATATAAAAGATAAAAGATTTTATTGACAATAATGATGAGTTGATGAGAGTGGTAATAACCATGATTATAGGGAGAACTCCATACATATAGGAGTAAAACACTATGGAAATACCAAAATAGGACTCAAAAGTCTTTTAAGACCAAAAGACAAGTTCATACTGTTATTATTACATTGCCACACTCACCATATTGTCATATTGTAACTGGCACACTGGCATCCGTCGTCGTCAGCCATCATAGTGCCGCTGCAGATTGCCAACGGCCTGCGGATCACATTGACATATTACAGTGTTATCACTTTTTCATCACACTGCAACACGTACTCTCACACTATAGTATTGTTATACTCTAATTTTGGACTTAAAATACTTATGACATATTTTAGCATTTTTGTATTTTTACTCATGGAAGATTTCTTTCGCACTATGTTTGATTCAAGGAATTTGAAAAGAAAAGATAATAATTTTCTCTCATTTTCTCATCAAAATGGGAGGGAATTCCCTCCCTTAATAGTTTTTGCCTACTTGTTTTTATTTTTTTTCATTTCTCATTATTTTTTTCTTCTCTAACCAAATAAGAAAAATATTTTCCTTACGGAGTATTTTTTTTACCTCTCAAATTTATAACGACAAAAGAATAGTCTTCTTTCTAAATGTCTTGGGCCGGGGAACTAGTGGGCCATTTGTAAAGCCCAATTATAATTCTTTCTCCAATTACTACGACGCCCTATCGTCTTTCTCCTCTTTTCCCATTCGATATTTCGCCGTTCTTCCCCGTCCACCCAGGTACCCCTCCATCATCACTCTTCTCTGCATAAGCATTCATCTTTATCAAAAATTCTCGAACATGCAACCCGAGCTTCGAATCAGTTAGTAGATCTAACTGATTGAATTTTTGGAATATGAAAGAACCCATAGCCCAAACCCCATTTTTTCCGTTACGGATATGTATTTATACGTATATGGTTTTATTCATAAGAAATGATTCATCTTTATATGATTTTTGACTTTTAATAATCCGAATCAACTAATACATTAGAAAATCTGTGTTTTTTTGTTAGCTTTATTTAGGATTGCTTCGGAAAAATCAATTTTTGTGCAGAGATGCTTGGAGAGGCTGTCGTGAACCAAAATTTAACATTTTTAGTTCAATTTATGGTGGAAACTGTATATTGGGTATCAATAATTAGAACCTAGAGCTTAATTGAAATATAATTTTGTCAAAAAATAAATCAAAGTGAAAAAACAAAATTTGACTTTGAAAAAATTGAACCCAACCGAACTGTTTTAATTTGGTTTTGGCATTTGGGAACCAAATCGAACTGTTTTAAACTGAGTTGAAAATATGAAGTACTTCGTAAACAACACCAAGTCCCTGAGCCATATTGTCTTCTTTCAGCTCTCGGCCTCCACTCCTTCCGTCCATCAGCAACTTCTTTGCCACTTCCTTGAACTAATATTTGTAGCGGGAAGAATCAACATTCCGTTGCAGTCTTGTAATTGAATTGACGAAATCAATTTGTAGGAATCGTCACAGCTCGGAAGGTTTGAAATCATTAGTCATATGCTTGTTTTTTTGAGATCTCATATACGAGACTATATGGTCGTTGTTTGGTGATTCATAAACGTAATTATATGCGTTCATTTTTCTCGTTTTGTTTCGTCATTTGGATTGTTTGTGTGATCCAATCCTAACTGAGTCAAATTAGGATGGAACTCTGATTGTTGGTGTGATTGTTCGTTTGGAAATATAGGTTTTTGATTACTAAATCTTTGATTTCTTATTCTGCCAGATTTCAGCGCATTAATTTGTTTTGTTTTGCAACAAAAAATGCTTGTGGAGTATGTTTGACAGGTTTTATGTCGTATCGTTTCATGAAATTAGAGCTGAAAATACTTAAAGCTAGTGAAATTAAGGGCCTGTTTGGTTGGAGGGTAGGGGAAGGGAGGGAAAAGAAGCCCCTTCCCTTATTTGGTTTTAAAATGTTGGAGGGGAGGAGATCCGAGGGAATCACTTGCCAATCGAGCGCCCTAAGCAAACAGAAATTGATTTGAGCGTTTTAATTTGTTTGCATCTTCAATTAGCTGCACATCCCATGCATCTTTCCATATTACTCCCTCCGCCCTTAAATATTTGTCACACTTGTATTCCTGAGGCAAAATATCAAGTTTTTTCAATTCATTTTATTTATATATTGGTATAGAAATAAAAAATAAAATTTACATATCAAAAAACTACATGAAAAGTTCTTCGAAATAAGAAGTGTCAAGAATATTTGATTTTATCAAATAACCAATGAAAACGTAGAAATAAACAAAAGTTCCCGCGACTGCTGAAAAAGCAAGTGTGGCAAATATTTTGGGACGGAGGGAGTATTTAAGTGTGTTTCTAATTTGTTTCTGACCAGCAAAAATAATATAAAGTAACCTGCAAATCCCATACGTCTTTAATTAGCTTGTGGTTTTTCTGGCACCGAATCCATTTCTTCCGTTTTCGTCTTTCTCCTCTCTCTTTGTCTTCCCTTTTCTCTCTGTCTCTGGTTGGAACCCTAGATGGGTTCATCCTCTACGTCTCCCATAGTAGATGAAATCGCGATTCGGATCGTACAATTGTACGATTCCGCAAATCTCCCAGGGATTTCCGATCCAACTCGCCCTCAAAATTGCAAAAATCCTTTGGGTCGGAAGAATCGCCGATCTGGATCGTGCAATCGCACAATCGTGGGGAATCGTCGATCGTAAAAAGAAAAGAGGCGGAACCTTGTAAATCCTTAATTGTCGCTTCGATTTTGTCAATTTAGTTGCTTCGATTGTTTGCGACTTCCAATTTGAATTGCGATTACTTTGTGACATCCTATTCGACTATTTTGTCGCTTCTAGCCTTCTCCCTTCTAACCCAGCAAATACTGTTGCCCTGCGTTGCCCGTCTACTCCGCCTCTCAATTGCTCAGGTTATATTTATGATTTTTAATTATATATTTGGAGTGTGGGTTATATGGGGTAAAAGGGTATTATAGATTATAAAAGGGTAAGTCATTTGTGATATCCAACTTGAACTTGAACTAGAGTAGGATCTTAGGATCAGAGTCACGATCTTACGATGTTACGATCTTCATTAGGCCCATCGATCCTACGTAGAATCTAGAGTTTGACTACCATACGTCTCCCTCTCCGTAACCAAACAAGGGGAAAGGCTCCCTCCCTCCCCCCATCTTTTACCATCCATTCCCTTTGCCCTCCCCTCCAGGCTCCAACCAAACAGGCTCTAAAGCCGTTCCAAGATAATGAAAAAACTTAAAGTTGTTATAGGAGCGTCAAAAGTTGTTTTGTTCAAATGTTGGATTCTAAGATCGAGTTTGTTTTGTTATTGCAGTTGCTATGTAAAAAAGTTGCTTTGTTATTTAAAAGTTGCTTTTTACTGCAGTTCAAAGATTCAATTGCTCTGTTTAAAAGTTGCTTTGTTGTTGCATCTTTTAAAAAAGTTCTAACATCAAGCCAGCTTGTTCTTACACAAAATTATTTTGATTTGTTAAAAAAATGTTGCTTTGTTATTGCTTCATTGAGCCATTGTTGTTACAGATTTTCTAATGGTTTTTAGTTCTTAGAATAGTAGCTTTGCTTTTAATTCTTTGGTTTTCAGTTGATGATTTTTAGCTTGAAAAAATTGCTCTGTTTTTAATTCTTAGCTTTGTTCAAACTTTGAAGGTTGCCTTTTTTCCTTGAAATTTATTTTACTCCTAAAATTAGTGTTTTGAAAATAAAAAAACCAAAATTAGAACTACATTAAACCAAACTGAATAACAAATGGTTTACATTTTTTATGGTGCAAAATCAAACTGAACCCAAAAACTAATTTATCTTCTGTTTTGTCTTTGGTTTTGGGTGATAATCGAACTGCAAAAACCAAACCCACCCCTAGAGATTTGCACTTGATAATTCTGTGTACAATGTCAACTAATACATTTCACTGGAAATGATGGAACTTTAAAACAAGATCAACTTATAAACAACAACCTAGTATACTTGACTTCATTGCTGCATTTACTACCCAAAACTTCATTGAAAGGAAGAAGAAAAGAAAGTTTAACATGCCATTTTGATATAGTCCATTATTTGCCCAATGCTAAAACATTGTTAATTATGACTTTTTATTTATCTCCATTGGCGATGGACATAATACTTGTTAGCGTTGATGGTTAGAACCTACTTTTTTCGTACATAGTTGTGCGATTTTTTCCTGAGGAAACTGCATTGTTACTCATAGGGAAGATGAGGCCGATATTGATGAAAGGGCATGAGAGGCCGTTGACTTTCCTCAAGTACAATCGGGAGGGTGATCTACTCTTCTCTTGTGCCAAGGACCACAATCCCACTGTTTGGTTTGCTGACAACGGCGAGCGCCTTGGAACTTACCGAGGCCATAATGGTGCTGTTTGGACGTGTGATGTCTCCCGTAATGCTTCTCTTTCTAATTTTTTTCACTTTTCATATTTTTCCAATATGATATATTTAAGCTTGGGTTTGGAAAGGGAGGGGAGTGGACTGGTCGAGTATATGGAGGAGGATGAAGGGTTGATTTTTAAGATGGTTTAAAGGCCTAAGAATAGGGGAGAAAAAGGGGGATACTGGTTGTGCTTTTTAGGAGGGCCGAAAATTTGGAAGGGAAAATAAGAGGGGAAAAGGGATAAAAACCAAGTAGGTTTTAAGAGATATAACACACTCTTATCCTCACTTGGGGTTTGAGTCTAGAATTTAATTAAGATATTACACACTCAATTAAATAACTAGAACCTAACA